ATCAGAACACCATACTCTTTCCTGCCCCTCCGGCGAGGCCCCGGCCAGAGCTGGCCCCCCCCCCGCGAGGCCCCTCCGGCGAGGCTTCCTGCCCTTCCTTCTCCTCCGGCGAGGCCCCGCCGGAGCGAGCCCCTCCCACCCCTCCAGGGAGGCCCCGCCAGAACGAGGAGGGTATCGGGGTACCGAACTATTCTGTCCTTCCCACCCCTCCAGGGAGGCTCCGCCAGAGCGAGGAGGGCATCGGAACACCCAACTATTTGCAATGCTTCGTGCCCCACCCTCAGGGAGGCCTGTCAGAGCGGGGAGGGCATCGGTACTGCTTCCAAGGCTTCCTGCCCCTCCGACCCTCCAGGAAGGCCATGCCAGAGCGAGGAAGGCACCGGACAAATGTACTATGTACCAGGCTTCCTGCCCCACCCACCCCTCCAGGGAGGCCCCGCCAAAATGAGGAGGGTATTAGAATACCCCGCCACTTCCAATGCTTCCTGCCTCTCCCACTCTCCAGGGAAGCCCTGCCCGAGCGAGGAGAGTATCGGAATACCCCATTCTTTCCAATGTTTCCTGCCCTTCCTACCCCATCTAAGGAGGCCCCGCCAGAGCGAGGAGGGTATCGGAATACCATACCCATATTGCTTACACGGCTCGTACCCCTCTCACCCCTCCAGGAAGGCCCCGAAAGAGCGACGACGGCATCGGGGTACAATGCTATTCATCAGGTTCAGGTTTCGTGCCCCCCTGCCACCCCTATCAGGTCTCGTACCCCCACCCCTCCAAGGAGGCTCCGCCAGAGCGAGGACAGTATTGGGATGCCATGTTATTTGATGGTTATCAGGATTCGTGCCTCTCCACCGCTCCAGGGAGGCCCCGCCGGAGTGAGGAAGGTATGGGAACACCATTCTGTACGAATTCACGTGCCCCTCCCACCCCTCCAGGGAGGCCCCGCCAGAGCGAGGAGGGTATCGGAATCTTATACCATGTACAATCCTCTTTGCCCCAGATCCGCTCTCACCGGCTACTAACGATGGTGATCCTGCCAAGATGCGAGGATGCCAGGATGCGCGATGTGGGACTTTTGAGACCTGTGGGGCCCGTGGGAATTGTGCGGCCTGTGGGGTTTGTTGGACCTGTGGACTTCACACGAAGGGGTCTCCCGCTCGAGACTTCCTCGCTGCGCACTCACAGACAAGGCCCCCGCTCGAGACATCCTCACGATTGTGCCCTCGGGTTGCACAAGTGATATGCTTCTTGCAGTAGGCCATTGACCCGCTCGGATTATTAGCATGATCTGCGGGCCACATCAGGAAGAGGCTCCCGCCTGAGACTTCCTCGCAATTCATTCACAGACGGGGCCCCCGCTTGAGACATCCTCACGATGTGCGCTTCTTGGGGTGCACGGTGCACAACTGGTATGCTTGTTTGCGTAGGCCAGTGACCTCATAGAGTGTGCCCCCTCGCCTGAGACTTCCTCGCAATTCACTCACATATCCTCACGATTTGCGCCCTCGGGGTGCTCAGAACCAGCTTGTTATTATAGTCCAATGACCAAATCGGACTACCAACATGAAGTGCGGACCCCACAGAGAGGGGACTGCACTTCATGGCACTTCACTTGCAGACGGTGCCCCCGCTTGAGACATCCTCAGGATTTGCCCCCCTGGGGTTCTCAAGTATTATTCCTGGTGCAGTATCCAGGTGACCCGCTTGGGTTACAAGCATGAGCTGCGGGCCTCAGAGAGAGGGGGCTCCCGCCCGAGACTTCCTCGCTATTCACTCACAGACGAGGCCCACGCTCGAGACATCCTCACGATTTGCCCCCTTGGGGTGCTCAAGTGCTATGCCTGGTAGAGTATCCCGATGTCCCGCTCGGATGAATACCGTGATGCGCGGGCCTCATAGGTAGGGGCTCCCGCCTGAGACTTGCTTGCAATCCATTCACATACGAGGCCCCCGCCTGAGACATCCTCACGATGTGCCCCCTTGAGGTGCCCAAGTGCTACGCGTGGCAGGACACCCCGATGACCCGCTCGGATTGCCAACATGAAGTGCGGGCCTCATAGGGAAGGGGGCTCCCGCCCGCGACCGTCTCGCAATTCGCGGGCAAGGCCCGCGCTCGAGGCATCCGCACGAGTTGCCCCCCTCGGGGTGCTCAAGTGCCATGCCTGGTAGAGTATCCTGAGAACCCGCTTGGAGTGCCAAGAAGAGTGCAGGCCCCACGGGGAGGGGGGGCTCCTGCTTGAGCTCGAGGCCTCCTTCAAGGTGAGTTGGTGCGTGTGTGTGAAGTGTGTGAGTGTGTATGGTGGTGATCAGAGATGATGGTGTTACTGTTGGTGGTGGTGACGCTGACGGGGATGATGATGCTGATGATGACGACAATGATAGGATGATGATGGTAATGATGATGATGATGATGATGATGATGATGATGATGATGATGATGATGATGATGATGATGATGATGATGATGATGCTGATGATGGTGGTTGTGGTGAGGATAATGGTGCTGATGATGATGGTGATGATGATGACGGTGGTGATGGTGGTGATGATGATGATGAATGGTGATGGTGCTCATGATGATGAGTCGGCATGGTGAGTGAGTGTGTGAGCGTGAGTGAGTGCATGATAATGACGATGATGGCCGCGATCATCATGATTGTGATCGTGTTGGGGGGAGGTGCTCCTGCGCGGGGTGTCAAGAGAAAGCAAAAGACACTTAGGATGCGGGGAAAAGCTACTGAGATGCCAAGCGCGATCCCCTCAGTGCAATTGCTGTTCGGGAATGCGCTGATGATTGGTGGTGGGCCGGACACGAGTTTTGGTGTTTTTTTGCTGCCCGCTTGGAACGGCCCGCGGATCGCCATTCAGAAGCGAGTTGTTGTGGCATCGCGTCATGAGGGAACCTGACGGGTTACCAAGTCGGATGAAGGATGGTGGTGAGGCGACGGGGCAGAGAGACAGAGAGAGATCTCGACAGAGCTCGAGAGAGAGAGAGAGATCGAGAAACGCAGACGGAGGGAGAGAGGGAGAGGAGCGCGCCGCGTCTGTTGTGACAAGTTTGCAGACGTACAAGATCATACGTACAGCATGGGCGAATGCCGCGCGGGTGTTTGGCATCCATAATTTTTTTATCGGGCCCAAATCTACCAGCGCCTGGAGCGGATGATCCCCGGCGGCTCACACTTTTGGGACAGGCGGACTGGGTGAAAAGTCTTTTTGTCGGATCATGCGAGTTTGAGCGATTCTCCGCAATGCCTCGCCCACCAGAGCGATGAAAACTACGATGTGATCCTCTGCTGAATCATGGACTCGCTCTGCAATGTTGTACATATGTAGAAATGTTTCGTCACGATTGCTGGACGAAGTGTTTCTATTCTTGTTTGGGCGTACCCCTAAAATACCGAATTTGTTCAGTTGGGCCTGGTAGCACCAACTATACGTTTTCCGCTTCTCATCCTTCTCCTCGTGTTGGTGCCCATCATGCTCGTGTTCCTCCACACTGTCCTCGTATCTTCGTCTCTTTTCCTCACCTCCTCATCTCCGGATCATCCCGTTTGTCTACCTAGTTGCTCAAACTCCTCATCGTCCCTCCCTTCCATTTCTTCCCTCCCTTCCGAGGTGGCGCTCTCTTCGCTGTTGGATGCCCCAACTCTCAAGTCCATTCTCTTTGCTCTCCTTCTCCTCCTCCCATACCTTCGGGAGAGGTTGCAGGGGCTGCGAGGGCTTCCGAAGTGTCTGGCGTGAGAGGGCCCCTGCTGTCTGAACCAGCGCTTGGCTCATCAAGCAGCTCCTTCGAGGGGGATGCGCAGTATGGGAAAGAGGAAGAGGAGGCAGTGGGGCTTAGGGTGGATGAGGGGTGGGAGAGGGGAGCAGGAGGAGTCTCCTCCTTCGCCTTCTCCTCCTTCTCATGATGCTACTACTACCACAGTCAAACCGCATACTAAGGATACTTACCACGTTTACCCTTGCATCCTCGCCTTTTCGGCCAATCCTTAGCGACTTTCGCTAGCCAACGTCGTTCGAAAAGCGTGAACATGTCCCTCCAAGGCCCTTGCATCCTTACAACGCATCCTTATCATACGGGTTGACTGTCGTATTCTTGTTGTGCTCATGTTTCCAGTTTCTGCTGCCGTTGTTGGGGGAACCAAGAGGTACCGATGCCGCTCTCCCCCGGACCTTCCCCCGGGGTGCGTTCTGACCAGAACGTCGAGGCCATCCCAGCGGTTGCGACGAGGGCCTCCCAAAAGCCCAGCACGGGTACGTTTTCCTCCTCCTATGACTTGTGGCGGCTCCGCTGCCGTACGTGGCCGTCTCGGCTCCTCGGGGACGGCGGGACGCCCGGCGGCTCTGCGGACGCGCACCGGCCCCTCCTGGCAGTGCGCGAGCTGCTCCTGGGCGATGGCCCAGCTGGGACCTCCCCTGCCTCGGGGGGGCAGGGGCAGGGCTGCTGGCACGCAGGGAGCCGTTCCCAGACCAGATCGCGTCATGCAACATGTTACGACCGTGAAGGTTTTTTTTGCATTTTCAGCCTCCGGGGGCCCTCGGAAGGGTCGGGACTTCCGAGATTTGCGTTCAAGAAAAAACCAGAACGTCGCATGTCTGGGTGTGGGGAACTCAACAGCATGCCTCTCTCGAGGGAGGACACAAACTCTTTGGGTAGAAGGAGTAGCACACCACGCTGACGGGCCCCCAACGCTAGGGTGCAACTCCTGCGAGGATAAATTCCGCATCTGCGCTGGTATATCCGTGGTCGAGAGTTGGCCGAATATGGCAGAACCCGGGTCAATCTGCTTACTCCCGTTAGATTCAGCTTCATTCCAGGAAGTGTCTGGCCTATAATCTGGCTTAATGGTTCTGTAATCGGGATGAACAGTCCTTACTCGTTCTGAGGACGACCTCCCAGGAGCTGCCTCGGCGTTCGCTAAGGAAAGTGCCCAGGATGCTCCAGACCCTGGAGGATTCCTTACCTGATGAGGGAGGCGGTGCTATCCATATTCAGGCCTCGACTGTTCTTCGACAGGGTTCCAGACTCCGGGTTCCTTATCCGATGGTTCCTTATCCAATGATTCCGCCGTCCGTAGCCATTTTGGCTCAAGCCGTTCCCTGTTCTGCTTGCTCTCGTTTTGGGCCCCGCGGGAGGCCGCAGAGTTCGGGCGCTTGGGGAGATGGCTACGGTCGGCTGCCAAGCTGCCCCTGTGGCGGCCGAGCAGCCTCGGCAGGCGGGAGGGGCCGCGGCTTCTCTCTGGCCTGCGCGCCGCGCCCGCCAGTGCGCTGCGCGCAGTGCCGCCCACGGGAAGCTGGCGGCTGCCTTGGCGAGAGTCGCCACGCTCGAGGCCGAGCTCGCCGACTGCCGCGCGGTGCGCGGGGAGGCGGCGGCGCAGGCCGTGCGGATCGCGGCTCTTCCGCTCGGCAGCCAGCAGGTCCCCGACGACGTCCTGGTCCAGGAGCTCGCTACGCGGCTGGCCCTGGCCGTGCCTGTGCTGATGGACATGCTCGCCGACCGCCGCGCAGCTGCAGTTGGCGCCGCTGTCCCTCGCGCTGCCCCCACCGCGCCGCCCCCCTGTGGCGGCAGCAGCGGGACGCAGTGTGGCACGCTCGGCGCGGACATCAGCGACGAGCTTGCATCGTCGCTCACCGTTGATGGGGCCGCTTCCTCGGGAGCATGCAGGCGCGCTCCGCCGCTGGCCACCGCCAGGCGGAATGCTGGCATGCATTGCGCTTCGAGGAGGGGCGCATCAATTGCGAAGATGAGGCTGACATCGCTCAACCGGCTGCAGCGTAGCGGTCCAGGTTGTCGGCCTCGGCAAGGACGCGGTGCTGGTGGTAGTGGTCGTGCTGCTCTTCCTCAGCTTCGCCCTGCAGGTGCAGTGGTTCCACACCGCCGCGTGCCTGCCCAGCGCTCGGCGGCCGAGGGAGTGGCGACGGGCTGGTGTGTGGCTCGCAGGCGCGGGCGCAGCCTGCCCGCTGGCGCGTCCTTCGCGCTCGCCGAGCTCGTGCGCAGCGCGAGTCATCACACTGCGGCCCCGCTGGCTTCAGGGCCGCTTTGGTGGCACGCTGGCGTCGAGGGATTGGATGACTCGGCCTTGGCAAGGCCTGAGAGCAGCGGCGGCTTCGGCGAGCACCCTGCCCCTCGGCCTTCTGAAGGTGGTGCTGTTCATCCTCATCGCCTCCCTGATCCTGGTGCGGCGTGCAGCACTGCCTGCACCTCCTCGCCTGCTGCTTTCGCGGACCCCTCGATCGTCACGGCGTACTTGCTGGCCAACGAGTCTGCCGTCCTCAGCGGTGGCAGCGAGATTGCCGCTGGCGACATCGACGGCGAGTTCAGCATGCAGGAGGTCGGCTCCCGCAACCAGGACGGCGACAGGTCCTTGGCCTCGGATGCCGTGGCGCACGGCGGCTTCGACCTCTCCCCGCACCTCGGCACGGACGACGGCGTGGAGGCGGCTGAGCCCCAGCGCAACGGCGGCAGGAGCCTGGACGACGACGCCCTCCTCACTTCGCCTCCCTCGGGCTCCTGCTCCTGCTCTGGCGGCGGGGGAATCGATGAGGAGGACGGCGAGGGCGGCGTCGGTGACGGCTGCACGCTCCGCTCGGATTCGGTGGCGCGCCAGGGGCCCGCGCGTGGGCCCAAGCGGCTCCTGGCTTTGCGCCGCCACGTCTTCGCGGGATTCGTGGCCCTCACGGTCGACCGCGACATTCGGAGGCCGGGCTGGCAGGGCGCAGGCGGCGACGACGCTCCTCCAGCTCCCTCAGCCTCCGAGCGAGAAGCGGGGCGCCTCTGGCTCCGCGACACGTTCGGGCCTGGCTCCCCGTGGAGGACGTGGGCCAGGCAGGAGCGGCGGCGGAGGCGCGAGGCTCAGCTCCAGCAGTAGGCGGCGGTCGCAGTGTTCTCTCTGGCGAGCGTGCTCTGCGGTGCAGTCAGCCTCGCTTGCCTGGCTTGACGGCATCTGAATTTGTCTGTGCATGATAAGCCCCAGGGTGATTGGATAAAAAATTAAAAAAAATGATTCCGCCGTCCGCGCCGCAGGGCCGCCCCGCGTGCCCGCCGCGGCTCCGACGCTGGCGGCGATGGTGCGCTTCCCGCCTGCGCCCTCCGCGCGGCCGCTGGGTGGCGCCGTCGCTCGCGGGGCCCGTCATCCAGTTCGCGGCGAGTTGGATCATGCGTGGCATGCAGGGGCTGCCGCTGAGCGTGGCCGCGAGGAGGCGTCGTCCACATCGCCGTGGTGGCCGCAGGGCTCGCGGGCCGCCGGCGCGGCCGCGCGGGCGCGCCGTGGAGCGGCAGGGGTCATCCTAGCCGGCCAGATCACTGGGCGGATCGCCGGCGCCGGCGCTGCAGGTGGCCCCAGCCCGCGGCATCGTCCTGGAGGTGAAGGGCGCGCTGCACCCTCAAGGCCTACGTGGGCTCCCTCGGCCTCGTCGACCCCGTCGGCAGGTTGGCCAAGCGTTGAGCTCACGCTGGTTCGGGGTGGCGTACCTTAAACCCCGGCCTTCCGAGGCGTGCCCCCGCCCGACGCTCAATCGTCGGCGCGCGGGGGGCCCACGGTGGACGTTCCCGACCTGCCCCCGATCCCATTTTGGGGGAGGGGTGGCGAGGGCGGCCGTGGGGCGAATTTGTGTGCATGACCAAGGCCCAGGCTGATAGGATAAAAAGAAAATGATTCCGCCGTGCGAGACCGTGTAAGACGAAAATGAGGAGGACGGCGAGGACGACGAGGATGGCGAAACGAAGCAGGACGAGGACGAGACTGAGAGGAGGACAAGCAGGTTGACGAGAAGGGCCTGGAGACCCTGTATTCCTTATCCTCTGGTTCATCTTCCCATGCCCTCACCGCAGCAGACGCCAGCGTGCCATTGCAACTCCCCAGACATCCTCCGAGCTGTTCCCCAATCAGTGCTTGCACTGAGCGGAAATTGAAAGATTTGGCGAAAGTGTCCCGCCGATATTGGTGGCCAGCTGGGTTCCCGGGGTCCCGGTTCCGGGTTCCGGGATTCCTGGTCGTTGGTTGTAGGCCGATGTTCCGGATTTCCGGGTTCCCGGTTCCCGGTCGATCTCTTTATCGAATTCTTTCTCGATTCACTTTGAAACCATCCACTGGATGGAGTTTTTCTTTGGTGTAATTTGTGTTCCGTCCGCGGCCCCTCAGCTCCCGACCCCTCCCCCGGTGGGCAGCCCTGCGCTCCGGACCCGGCGCCCATGGCCCCGGGGCCCGATCGCGGGCCCCCGGGGGCCGACGTATAGAGAGGAACGGCGGCCAGACTGAGCAAAGAGCACAACGTCGGAAATCTGGGCCCTGCAGACCGCCGGACACCGCCGGAAGGCCGCCGAAGACCGTCCGAGGCCAATGCGTGGTCGAGTGCGCAGCATCGCTCTTCGCCTTTCCCCTCCCGACGGTCGGCGGCGCGCCCGGGGGGAAGTGGGCGAGGTGTCTCGGAAGCCCTCGTGCCTTCTGAGAAATGTTCTGTGCCTCCAGGCAAGGCTCAGGAAGCTTCTCCGAAGGCCTGGAGGCCTTCGGAGTGACCCTTCAAGAGAATCGACTACACGCAAACGTGACCCTTCGCCGGAGTGACCTTTGGTGCGGGCTCACCGGCCCCCCCCCCCGATCGCCGAGCGCGATGCGAGGGTGGCTGCCTGCGTGCTTTCGGCTTTGGCCACCCTGCGCCCCCTGGGTCCGCGCACGACGGGTCGCTCCTGCCGGGGGTCAGTCTCGCGTGGAGCCGAGAGACGGCCCGCCCCCTCCTCGCTCCCCCCCTCCGGGCTCCCCTCCCGACCGCCTCACGCCCCGTCGCCTTGCCCCTCCCGCCGCCCGCCCCGCGCCGGCGCGCCGCCGTGGCGCGCCGCCGCGCGGCGCCGTGCCGCGGGCGCGCTCGCGGCTCCTGGCGCGCCCGCGTCGGACAGGAAGGCCTGGCCGTGCGGCGGTGGAGGGGAAGAGCTTGGCAGCAGCAGCGCCCGAGCTGGAATGAGCCAGGCTTCCCCCTCCCCCCAGGCCTCACCCTGGGCAGGTATTGCGTTCGAGATGCTGTGCTCGAGATCTGGCCGGCCCCTCTTCTGCGGGAAAGCTTGTTCAATACATATTCAGGTCGGGGGGCGGAGGGGGTCATGCGAAGCAGCTGCGAAACGTTGGTTGCAAAGTTTGTTCATTCGACGGAATGGCCCTGGAAGGCCCAGGACGGCAGGAGAACCCAGACCTCCAACGTATTGAAATATTCAACTCGAGTGTTTTTCGCCGCTGCCGGCCTCCAGGGGTCTGCGCCGGGCCCCTGGGCAGTCCAGGGGAAAGGGCCGGGACTTCCTGGGAGCGCGTGGCGAACTGAATCGACGCGGAGATCCCAAGATGTGCATCTCATGCTCTGGCCGCGCCGTGCTGAGAAAGTCTGTCTGTGACGATTTGGGTGTGAGAGCGAGTCCGCGTAGACGACGGGCGCGACGACGACGACAGCGACGACTTCGGTGACGTCCTCCTCCTCTTCCTCCTCCTCCTCCTCCTCCTCCTCCTCTGGACATGTTTGCAGGAAAGATGTGGGAAACACAGGTGAAGAGCGAGGGAGCATTGAAACATCAAAATAGAGAAGACTGTGAGTGGATCGTAGCGTGAATGATCTGAGTTGGAATGGGTCTGAGTGCGAGTGAGCCCAGAACTGATCGAGCTTGAGTGTGAGTGAGTCTAGGTATAAGAGAGTCTGAGTACGGATGCGTCTGAGGATGAGTGATTCTGAGTATGAGTGAAGGAGTATGAGTGTGAGCGGGTGTGTTTATGACTTAGACGAGTCTTGGTATGAGTATGCGTGAGTCTGGGTGTGAGTGAGTCTGAGTGCGAGTGCGTCTGAGTGAATGTGTGTGTGAGTGTGTGGGTCTCAGTATGAGTGAATCTGAGTGTGAGTGCGCCTGCATGTGAGTGACTTAGTTTATGAGTTACTCCGAGTGTGAGTGGGTCTGAATGTGAGTGAATATGATCATGAGTGAGTCTGAGTATGAGTGGGTCTGAGTGCGAGAAGTCTGAGTGTGAGGGGGGCACAAGGGGGAAGGAGGCGAGGAGGTGTGAGTGGTCTGAGTATGTGTGATTTGAGTGTATGTGTGAGAGAAGGAGTATTGTTGTGAATGAGGCCAGGAAGTATTGGGTTTGAGTGTCAGTGCGTGTAGGTATGAGAGAGTCTGAGTATGCGTGGGTCTGAGTGTGAATCGGCCTGAGCCTGAGTGAGTCTGAGTGTGCTGAAGTCGGAGTGTGAGCAAGTTTGGGTGTGACAGGCTCTGAGTATCGAAGGCGAGTCTGAGTTGGAGCGCTCGTGGGTCTGAGTGTGAGTGAGTCTGAGTGCGTGCTGGTCTGAGCATGGTTGGGTCTGAGTGTTTGGATCTGAGTGTGAGTATGTCCGAATGTGAGTGAGTCTTGAGTGTGAGAATGGTGGGTATGAGTCTGAGCACGGGCGACTCTGAGTACGAGTAAGTTTGCGTACGAGTGAGTATGATGGCTGGCGAATCTGAATGAGAGTCCATCCGAGTGTCAATTAGTCCAAGGGCGAGTGGGACTGAGTTCGAGCGAGTCTTCATGTGAGCGAGTCTTTGTACGAGTGCGCCTGGGTATGAGTGAGTCTGAGTATGGCTGAGTCTGGGATGGGTGGGACAACCTGGGCGCGACCGGGCCCGTGGTATACCCCCATGGCGTCCTCCTTTCAGGTGCTACCAGCGCCTCGCCCGAGACATCCTCGCACACCTATTCCGAAAGCAAGAGACGCTGAGCACGCAAACAGATAAGCCGCCTGAGACATTCCCACCATCTGGACGCGAACGGGCCCGTGAAGTACCCCCCCTGGCGATCCCCCCGTCTCGCTTGAGACATCCTTGCAGCATGCTCCGGAAGCAGAGGATGTTGGGCACGCAAACGCACAAACCGTTTGAGACATCCTCGCAATCTGGGCGCGAATGGGCCCGTGAGATACCCTTCTGGGGGATGAAACCAGCGCCTCGCCTGAGACATCTTCGCAACATGCTCCGAAAGCAGAGGATGCTGGGCATGCAAACAGGCAGACCGCCTGAGACATCCCCACAATCTGGGCGCGACCGGGCCCGCGGCATACTCCCCCGATGGTCGTACCCATAACCGTATCAGGTCTCCAAGGTTAGCAGCCTCTTGTCGATAGAAGGAAGTCGGTAAGGGAAGTCGGCACAATAGATCCGTAACTTCGGGAACAGGATTAGCTCTGAGGGTTCTGAAAGCAGCCCCTCGCCTCAGACACCCTCGCAAACTAGTCCGAAAGCAGAGGGTGTTGGGCATGCAAACGCGACATCGATTGAGACATGCCCACAATCTGGTCGCGAACGGGCCCGTGAGTTAGCCCCCTTGCGCCCCCCCATGGGAGTTATGAATCCAGCACCTCGCCTGAGAGATCCTCACAAGCTTAGCGAAAACAGGCGCGATCGGACCCGTGAGATGCCCCGCGTCAATCCAGCGCCTCGTCTGAGACAGCCTCGCAAACTTCTGCGAAACGCAAACGCGCAAACCGTTTGAGACATCCCAGCAATCTGCGCGCGAACGGGCCCGTGAGATACCCCCTGGCGACCCTTTTGGGAGCGCTGACGCCACCGCCTTGCCTGAGACATCCTCACAAGCTGTGTGAAAGTAGAGGATGTTGGACATGCAAACAGGCACACCGTCTGAGACATCCCCACAATGTGGGCGCGCTCCGCCCGAGACATCCACAAGCTGCGTTAACCTGAGACTCATATTCAGTCACACGCAAACAGAAGTCTGAGTCTGAGTATGAGGGAGCCTGAGTGTCACTGAATATGATTGTGACTGAGTCGGAGTGTGCGTGAGTCAGTGTATGAGAGAGACTGAGTGTGAGTGAGTCTGAGTGTAAGTGGGTCTGAGTGTTAGTGAGTCTGAGTGTGAGTGAGTATGCATATTTCTGAATAAATCCTGCAAGTGAGCCTAAGCATGATAAGTGAGGCTGAGTGAAGAGGAGGAGAACGAGAAGGAGGAGCAGGAGGAGTAGAAGGAGGAGGAGTCGAGGTGAGGGTTCTCGGAGCCGTCCACGTAATAACAATAACTCCATGCCAGGACATGGTGAACAAATCATACGTTGGATGTCGGGGAATGCGCGGTCCCCAGAAGACCCGATCCTTGCCCAAGGGCCAGCTTTTCACCCTGAGTCGGTTCTTGACAGTCCTGGGGCCCAGCGAGGGCCCCCAGGAGCCTCCAAACGGCCAAAAACCGTGACAGGAGAGACCCCGCCTTCTTCCCGGGATCGCCCTTCCATCCGCAGTCGTTCTTCGATGGCCCTGGGGCCCGGCGAGGGCTCCCAGAGGCCAAGATGGCCAAAAACTTGCCGTCGCGATGCTTTCAGGATAGAGCATGTCTGGCGGCGCACCCGCGCCCGACAGGACCGCCGCGCGGCCCCGGGGCGCCGGCCTCGCGATCGCCGGCCTCGCCGTCCACGGCGCGCTCGGGCGCAGCCGCGCCCGCCGCGTCCGCGACAGCCGCGCGGCGGTCCCAGTCGCCGCGGCCGCCGCGTCCGCCGCGCGCGGCCACGGAGGAGCAGCGGCGGCGGCTCCGAGAGGGGGCCCCGAACTCGCAGGATTTTCGGCCCCCTGCCAGCGGCGGTGGTTCAGAGATGGGGCCCTGATGGGGAGCATGTTTTTTGCTCGCGGCGATGCCAGCGTCATACAGGGACGGGGGAGGGAGGGGTGCGCTGGGGGTCACGAAGTAACGCTCCTCCCACCCACCCCCCTGTGGGTCCGGCACCACACGCCGAGTTGCCGGACGCAAGGCGGCAGTGACGGGAACGCACTGGGGGTGGGGGGGCGTTACCTTTTATGGGGGCCAGGGGGAGAGGGCGGGGAGCTTAACGCGCGTTATGGCCCAGAGGGTTAAAGACCATTATCCTGGCGAAGGACCCAACTATACGCAGTTTTGATCACAGCATGCGGGTACCGCTTTCGGTGGAGCTCCCTTTGGGCCACGAAGCGTGTGAGGGGTGTTCCGAAATCGGCGCGGTGGCGCCATGCGAACGTAGCAACTTGCGCCTTCGGTTGAGCTCCCTATGGGGCCACGAAGCGTGTAAAGGGTGTGCCGACATGGTGCGGGGGGGCGCATGCAAACCCTGCTCAAACATGCGATGGTGTGCCGAATGGGGCGGGCGGCCGCATGCGAACGTCGCCTCTGGAGCCTTAGGTGGAGCTCCCTATGGGGCCACGAAACTTGTGAGGGGTGTGCCCACATGATGCGACGGACGCATGGACATCCTGCCACTGGAGCCTTCGGAGGAGCTCCCCATGTGGCCACGAGACGCGTGATGTATGTGCCGAAATGGGGCAGGGGGACGTTTGCCAACCTTGCCAGTGGTGCCTTCGGAGGAGCTCGCTATGGGGCCACGAAACGTGTGAGGGGTGTGCCGACATGGTGCGGGAGGACACATGCGAACCCTACGATTGGAGCCTCCGGTGAAGTTCCCTATGGGACAACGAAACGTGTGACGGGTGTGCCGAAATGTTGCGGGGGACGCATGCGAATGTCGCCTCTGGAGCCTTGGGTGGAGCCCCGTGTGGGGCCACGAAACGTGTGAGGGGTGTGCCGGCATGGGGCGGGTGGACGCATGCGAACCCTACCATTGGAGCCATCGATGAAGCTCCCTAATTATGGGGTCACGAAACACGTGAGGTATGTGCCGAAATGGGGGAGGGGGACGCATGCGAACCTTGCCATTGGAGCCTTCGATGGAACTCCCTAGATCTGGGGCCACGGAGCGTGTGTGGGGTGTGCCGAGATGGGGCACGGGGACGCACGCGAACCCCACCATTCGAGCTCCCTACGGGGCCACGAAGCGTGTGAGGGGGGTGCCGACATGGGGCGGGTGGACGCATGCGAACCTTACCATTGGATCTTCCGATGAAACTCCCTAATTATGGGGGCACAAAACGTGTGAGGGGTGTGCTGAAACTGGTCAGGGGGACGCATGCGAACCTTGCCATTGGGGCCTTCGGAGGTGCTACCTGTGGGGCCACGAAACGTGTGAGGGGTGTGCCGAAATCGTGCGGGGCGGACACATGCGAACCCTGACACCTGGGCCTTCGGAGGAGCTCCCTCTAGGGCCACGGCATGTGTGACGGGTCTGCCGAAATTTGTTGTGGGGGACATGCGAACCCTGCCACGGGGGGCTTTGGTGGAATTCCCTGTGCGGCCACGAAACGTGTGCGGGGTGTACCGAAACTGTGGGCTGATGCGGGGAGCAAAAGTGAGGGTGTGCAGGGGGGGAGAGGGAGGAGGAGTGAGTGGACGCGAGGCGCTGTCTCTTCAAAACGAGGACCTGACACCACAGGACGGTTGGGAATTATCATACGGTAGCTGGGTCGGATTAACGGGTTCGTTTTCTCCTTCGGTCGGCCGTCACTGCTTGCGTGGTGGGACTCTGTTGTGGGTCCTGCGCGGCTGCATGTTCGGATCAAAAGGGATCACCTGGTCCAGAGCGGAACATCGACGGCTCAGAGATGGGGCCCTGAACCTAGAGCAGGCGGAGGGTCTGAGGTGGCCCAGCTCTGGTCCCAGTGAGCAGGGACGGGGGGCGAGGTTCGAGGTTCCGGGTTCGAGGGTTTGTAGGAGAAAACAATGTTTGGCCTTTTCGGCGTCTGCGGGCCGTTCTTGGGCCCGGACCGTCAAAGACGATGCAGGGTGACAAATTGCACCAGATGGGCCCCAGCCAGGGGTCCAGGGATTGATTTTGAGCGTATTTCCCTTTGTCCCCCATGTGTTAAATTTTCTTGGGGCCCATCCGCATCCAAGCCCCACAGACGAGGACATTGTTTTTTTATTTGGTGAACCCATAATTCCCAGTACGGGGGGTGGCCCCCCCTCCCCTCCCCCCCCTCCCCCCCTTGTTTTCTAACGGAACGTACGCGGGGGGTGTAGTGTTTGTTCCCCCGCGGACATGGCGCGGTGCTCGCAGGAATGCTGTGGCGCTGACAGGCATGCTTGGGCTGCTTGGGCGCACACAAGCATGCTGTGGCGCTCGCAGGCCCGACACCCCTTTCCCCTTCCTTTCCCCCACGCAACGGACGTTACGGGGGGAGGGCAACAACAACAATAGCAACAACAACACCAGCAACAATAGCAACAACACCAACAACATCAGCACCACCAACAATAACAACAATAACAACACAAACAACACCAACAACAACAACAACAGCAGCGACAACGCCACCACCACCAACAACAACAACAACAACTCCACCACCAATTCACCACCGACAACAACAGCAACAACACCAGCATCTTCGAGGGCCCCAGGACGTTGCTAACTCTGTCCCCTTCTTTCAGCAGGCCAGGAGTCAGGAGGCTCCATGCCTCTTGCTCAGCAGGCCAGGGCGCATCCCTAGTCCTGCGGCCTAGGCCAAGGGTAGACCTACCTCTAGGCTTAAGTCGTGCCTGTCCCTCTACAGGAGGAACACTCAAACATTGTTCACGAATAGTCGGGGTACAATGTTTAACTAATTTTTGAGTCATCTTTGAGCGTTTCTGAATATCCCAATCTTCCGTCCCGAATCCGCCTGTAGGGGGACATGCCCGACCTAATTCCAGGCCCTATTCGGATTGTGTCGGAGATGTCATGGTCTGCCATTTACTTGCCTGGGTCTGCTAACTGTGTTCGATTCTCGGAAGCACCCTTGTGGGGCTTCTTGGGGCCCATCCTTCAGGGACTCTCTTTGAGCCGCCGAGGAGCAGACGAGGCCTCGCAGCTCGCGCTGGAGGAGCTCCGGGCAGCGAGGGATCAGCTGCGCGCGAGCGGCCTCCCCGTAGCGGCGCTGGCCGCGGCCGTGCAGGAGCTCAGGGGAGGAGGATTGCCAGGATCGACGTCGAGGTCTCCGCGTTCAGTCTTTCGGCGGCAAGCGCGGGGGGGGAATTGAGAGGGGGCGGGCCTTCTCAGAAGGCTCGGGAGGCCTCTGGCCTTCTGGGAAGATCCCCGAGGCTTCTCCGAAGACGCATCAAGCTTCTCGGAAGGCGCGAGGGCTTCTGAGAAGCCCCGCCGCCTTCTGAGAAGGCCTTCTCCTTCTCGCGTTCCCCCTCGCTCGCCGCCGATCCCCAGGAACACACTGGAAAACATGGGAAGTGGGGGAAGGGAGCGCGAACATCCAGCAAATATTATCAAATGTGGGGGACCCTGGGAGTTGTTCCTCTCTGCGTGTCATTCTGAGAAGGCGGTCTCCCTCTCACTTCCACCCTCGGCCTTCACGAATATCTGCTGCCACGCGGCCGGAACAAGAGTTTCCGCGCCTGCCCGGCCCAGCTCCGGCCTCGCAGCGGCCGCTTAGTTGCGGCATCCTTGCCGCATTCGTGGCGCCCTCCCCCTCCTTCTATCCCCTTCCTCTTCCTTCCTGCTCCTCCCCTTGTGTTTTTTTGTTTTCTGCCTGCCAGGCGCTTCTCCGTGGCACGTGGCGGCGCAGACAGGCTGTGGTGATCTGCGCTGCTCACAGATCCGGGTGTTGTCGCCGTGGCGGGCGCGGAGGAAAACAAACAACAGAAACGTCTCCCCCGAGGGCGCGCCGCCCCCCCCCCCCGGGGGCGCGCCCCCGGGGGCGAAGGCAGGAGGAGGAGAAGGAGGAGGAGGAGGAGGAGGAGCAGGAGGAGGAGGAGGAAGACGAGGAGGAGGAGGAGGAAGACGAGGAGGAGGAGGAGGAGGAGGAGGAGGAGGAGGTGAAGACGCTGTGTAGCGAGAAACGTCAGAAACGTCAGGAGGAGGAGGAGGAGGAGGAGGAGGAGGAGGAGGAGGAGGAGGAGGAGGAGGAGCCCCTCTCCCTCCTTGTGGTGGTGGTGGTGGAAAACAGGCCCCGGCGCGGCCGTCCCCCGCGGGGGCGAGGCCCCTTCCCCGGCCGCCCCCCCCCCTGGGGCGGGCCGCCCTGCCACTGGCCCCGGCCGCCCCTCCCGGGGGCGCCGCCTCCCCGCCGGGCAGCGGGCGGGGCGCCGTGGGCCGCCCTCCCCCCGCAAGGTCGGAAGTGTCCTTTTACAGGGGGGATCTTCCCAAATAGTATGAACAAAAAATGGTTTGGTTTTGACAATGTTTGAAGATTGTTTTGTTTTGTGTGTTTGAGGGTATTTCTTATTTTTCGCCACAAGTCCGCCTGTAGAGGGGCCGGCCCGACCTAACGCAAGGTCCAGAAGGGGCACGTCGGCGGCGGACCACCTGCACACCGATCCTGGCCGGGCCCACCGCTCAGAGGAGGAGAATCGGAGGCGACGATAGGGGCGAATAGCCCAGGGGGGAGCAATACATGTATCCAGGGGTGCCGATGATCTATGTCTTCGACAAGGCTCCCGGGCCGCCCCTGGCCTATTCGCCCCATCGTCACCGTCGAGACAAGGTACCGATACCACCACCCCTCGGACGGGGCTAGGACTCAGAGGAGGAGGAGGTATCCATACCTGTACCCTTCGCCCGTTTTCCTTTTTGTTCGGCCTCCTGGGAGGCCCTCGTCGTCTCCGTTGGATTCGCCTCGAAATTCTGGTCAGAACGCACCCCAGGAGAGGTGCCGGGATTAGCGTTATCGGTACATTTTGGTGTCCCCAAGGACGAGGGTAAATCCGCGCTAGAGCGTTCCGGAACGCTCAGCGTTCGGGAACTCTTTGGGAAGGCCACGGCGCCCGAGGCATCCTCCAGAGCCGCCAGATCTCAGAGGCACTCGATTTATCCTCCTCCGATGCTGTCCTCGCCCTGGCTTCGTCTTAGCCTCGTTTCCCCTTATAGGGGGCCTCGGGGAGGCCCTCGTCGCCACGGCTGGATTCGGCTGGGAGTTCTGGTCAGAACGCTCCCCGGGAGAGGTGCGGACCTCTCGCGGGGGTACCGTGGTGAGGCTGCGCTTGCGAACAGAGCTGAGAGGAGGAAAAGGCACACCGTTACCCCTGCCTCTTTTGTTTCGTCAAGTTACACACAAGGAGTCGACACAGGGGCCCTTGCCTCGTTTTCGCCTTGCTGGGGCTCCTGGGTGGCCCTCGTCGCCACGGCTGGATTCGCCTGGGAGTTCTGGTGAGAACGCTCCCCGGGAGAGGTCTGGAGACCAGCGACCCCCCAACATACTAATACTACATGTGCGTCGTCCCCCCAGGGGCGACGCGCGCACCGAGAACCCTTGGAGCATATGCGTCGTGGCGTGCCCTTCCTGGCCACACCGCTCGGGAAACGATCTGCTGCAAGATGGGTATACGATATGCTCGGGTCGGACGAAGGAGGACATATGACAGAGGCAGCGTCCCATGGGGGGCAGCGGCATATCGGTGTCCGCCGGTCTCCCCAGGAGCTGCTGCGGGAGGAGGCGCTCGCGCGGGAGCGCTGCGAGGGGGGCCTCCAGCTTGGGGCGATCTTCGCCGAGGCCGAGGTCAGGGGCAATGTGAAGTGGGGGAGAGGAGGAGGAGGAGGAGGAGGAGGAGGAGGAGGAGGAGGAGGAGGAGGAGGAGGAGGAGGAGGAGGAGGAGGAGGAGGAGGTGGAGGAGGCCATCGTCCTCGTCATCGTTGTCGTCCTCCTCCTCCTCCTCTTCCTCGTCTTCCTCCTCCTCCAAGCTCTGGAGGGGGAGGCGTGGACCCGCAGTGGCCCGTTCATCGTCGAGGGGGGGGGGGCGATAGCTCACCCCGCCCAGGACCGTGCGAATTCGCCATCGGGAGCCTATCGTTAAGGCGGGCATGTCCCTCTACAGGAGGACTGTTCAAGCATAGTCAAGACATTGTCTGGGGACGATGTGCTCGATCATTTCAAACGTATGTGCTTATGTTTATGTTATGAGATTTGCTGATTTGTTTTTCAAAACCCGCCTGAATTGTTTTTCAAAACCCGCCTGGAGAAGGACAGGCCCGACTTGAGCTCTGGAGGGGGGAGGCGGGGACCCTCCGTCGCCCGTTCATTGTCGAGCGGGGGGGGCCGATAGCTCGCCGCGCCCAGGACCGTGCGAATTCGCCATCGGGGGCCTAGCGTTAGAGCGGGCCTGTCCCTCGAAAGGGGGAATATGCAAACGTAGTAAAAATCAGTCTGGTGACGAATCGTCCATTATTTTTTGACAATTTTTGATTATGCTTTGACTGTTTTTGATTTGTCTTGCAAAATCCGCCTGTAGGAGGACAGGCCCGACCAAATTCCAGGTTGATGCTTCCCTCCCTGGGCCAGTCCTCCCTTACAGTCGGACCGAGGTATCTAGATCGAGGTCGGTTCGGGGAGGGTGCCCTCGTGTTCTTCGTGCTTGTGGGATGTGTTTGCGCAATCCTGGGGAGGGTGCCCTTTGATGTTCTGCTTGTGTTGGCCGGCGGAGGGTCTCGCGTTCATGAGGGACGTTCTTCTGGCCTGGGTCCGACTGTATCGCCCCCCCGCACAAAGGCCCTCGTGGACGCGGAGCTCGCCCGAGTTGGCATAGCATCCATCGACCAGCCGTGGAAGGGGGCGAGGGTTCGCCTGAGCGCGCTGGACGCCCAGTGCCTGCTGATATCGCGCGATCGGCGATCACAGATCGCAGCGGTCGGGTTCTCACGCCATCGATGATCGCACGTTCGGTTCGGCTGGATGACGCGATCGTCCGGGCTCGAACGCGTGATCGATCTGTGATCGGCGCGTTGGCCGTCGTGATCATGGCTGCGATCGGATCGGTCCTCCGCGTGTCATGTGTTTTGTTGCCGTGCGCGCCATCGAGGTCAAAGCGTGCTGCAGGGGCACGCCAGGCCACAGCACACCAGAATATTCATGTTTCAACCATGCATGGCCGCGGCCGCGAGGGGTGTTTATTTAATAGCTTCGCTCATTCCGCCGGCCCGTATTGGTGCACGGCTGTCGAGTGCCCGTGTGATCGTTGTCAATGGGGTGCTGCTGGGTCGTTTTTTTGTTCATGGATGGCTGGCTTTGGGTGATTTCGCAGGCGGGAACCATTATTTGCCCGCCTGAACCTTCTGTTTCGGAAGGTGGCGGCTCGTGAGTACGATCGCAGGGAGCAAGACAACATTCTGCAGTTTCCCTTTTGCATTGTTCGGGCCCCTTGTCGCTTGTTGGGGCCTCTTAGGAGCCTCTTGGGGAGTCCAGGAGGCCTCTTGGAGCGGAAGGCTCGGATTTTCGGTTCGTGGTCTCCATCTTGGGCCTCTCTTGGGGTCCTTTTGGACCGTTTTGGGCGCCTCTTGGGCTGTCGTGGGGCTCTCTTGGACGGTCGTGGGCCTCTCTTGGAGGCCTCTTGGGCCGTCTTGGGGTGGTCTAGGAGGCTTCTTGGGCCGTCTTGGAGCGTCGGAAAGGCGAAAAAGCGAGGAAGCCAAAAACCTTGAGAAACCCAATGTAAATCAATGGTTTTGACGCTCTGAGGCTTCGTGGACGTTCATTGGGATCTCGTTGGATGCCTCTCGAGGGCTTCTTGGAGACTCTCGGGAGTCGTTGTCGAGCCTCTTGGGGTCTCTTTCGGGCCCCTTGTCGCCTTTTGGGGCCTCTTGGGGGCTTCTTGGAGCCTCCAGGAGACCTCTTGGAGCGGAAGGCTCGGATTCTCGGTTCGTGGTCTCCATCTTGGGCCCCTCTTGGGGCCCTCTTGGGGTCCTTTTGGACCGTCTTGGGCGCCTCTTGGGCTGTCGTGGGGCCCTCTTGGGCGGTCTTGGGGCTCTCTTGGAGGCCTCTTGGGCCGTCTTGGGATGGTCTTGGAGGCTTCTTGGGCCGTCTTGGAGCGTCGGAAACGCGAAAAGGCGAGAAAGCCAAAAACCTTGGAGAACCCAATGGAAATCAATGACTTTGGCCTCTTGGGGCTCTCTTGGAAAGGGTCGGGGCTCTCTTGGGACGTCTTGGAAGCTTCTTGGGCCGTCTTGAGGCCGTGTTGGGCGTCTTGGGCCGATCGTTCGGTGATTCGGAACCCTCTTGGACCGTCTTGGAAGCCTGTTTGGGCCCTCTTGGCGCGCTCTGGGGAGCGTGGAAGGCCGCACCCAGGAGGAACACCATCTCTGAACTAAGTTTGCCGGGAGTGTCCCGGGACCTTGCCGGGGTACTTTCCGGCCGGGGACCCCCAGGGGCCGCTCCGCGCGCGCGAAGTATAGAGTCATTGTTAACCAGTTACCGGAGATCTTAGACGCCTCTGGCCCGTTGGGCCGGCGAGTTGCGAAGGCCTTGCGGCCGTGCCGCCGACCCTGAAGGGGGATGACAACGACGGCGACGACGACGACGACAACGCTGACGTGGGTCAGAGTCCCCATGGATGCTTCTTGGGGTCTCTTCGAAGCGCTCTTCGTGGCCTCTGGTGGACAGCACACAAGAGGATTTGTTGTTCAGCCCTGCGTGCCCGCGAGGGTTGTCTGGTTTTTGCAAGAGAACAGTGGTCAGGCGATCGCAAACATGGATCAAGGGGGTGTGGATTAGCGACGGGACCCGTTTACATTTTCGCAATGGCGGATCTCCGCCGCTGAGCGAGGCGGCACCGGCCGCATCTGGGGGATGGCCCTTCCCCCGGTCCGTGGACTTGGCGACCGCGCGCCAAATTCATATGGTTTTTGTATGAAGGCTTGCATGCCCCTCTACAGGAGGAATTTGCAAAAATAGTCAAAAAATAGTCCTGGGACGATTTTTCTAGTATTTTCTATTCTTTTTTTATACATGTTTTTGAATATTTCTGGGGTGCTCCATTTTTCTGGTCCTAGCAGAAGGAGTCCTAGCGGAAGTTGGAATCTTTGGCGAAAGTTTCCCGCCGATTTTGGTAGCAGGCTGGGTTCCCGGGTTCCCGGGTTCCCGGTCATCGGTTCCAGGCCAATCTCGGCGGGCTCTGGGTTCCTAGGCTCCCGGGCTCTCGGTCGACCTCCTCGGCGAAAACCATCCACTGATTGGGGTTGGTTTTTGGTGCAATTTCGTTCAAAATCCCCCTGTAGGAGGACCTGCCCGCCGACCGACAGTCGACAGTCGACCCGCATAGTAAGGATAGGCCTTCCAAGGGAACCCTTGAATCCTTGCCTCCTGGGTCCATCCTTGGACACTTTCGTTGGCTGCGCCCCGCTCGTAAAGCTTCGAAATGGGCGTCCAAGGCCAGTGCATCCTTATCGCGCATCCTCACCATCCAATGAATCACCGCTTCCCCCGAAAATGCGGTGAAATATGGGAAGTGGGGGGAAGGCAGAATTCCCAGAAGCTGTGGGAAAACATGGGGGATCCCGTTATTTGTTTCTATTAATTTGTGTATCCCAGGGCCTCTTTTTAAAAAACGTGGCTTCGGGCGGCGAGAGCGGCCGAGCGGCCCGTCGGGCGCCGAGGCTGGACGCGCTGTCGCGCCTCGGCGAGGTCGGCGGCCTGCCCGCCGCGGCCCTGCGGGCGCTCCGCGGGCAGGACTCGGCGAGGAGGGAGGGAGAGGAGGGAGGGAGGGAGGAGGGGAGGAGGAGGGAGGGGAGGGAGGAGGGAGGGAGGGAGGGAGGGAGGAGGGAGAGGAGGGAGGGGAGGAGGAGGGAGGAGGGAGGGAGGGAGGGGAGGAGGGAGGGAGAGGAGGGGAGGGGAGGAGGAGGAGGAGGGAGGAGGAGGAGAGGAGGAGGGAGGAGAGGGAGGAGGAGGAGGAGGAGGAGGAGGAGGTACGAGGGCGAGGCCGGCTGGGGGATGACACGGTGGGGGCCCCTGCCAAGAGCCGCCTTGCTTGCCTCCAGGCAAGCAGTGGCAAAGCGTCCTGGCTCGCCTAAAGGTTCTAAGAACCTTCTGTGGTCTGCACGGAATGTTCTCAGAACAGTTCTGGCTGGGACTGGCTTGTTTTAAGTCATCAGGTTTATGTTCTAAGAAAATTGCTTTTGTTCTTGGAACACTTGGGATTGTCGGTCCCTGCTCAATTCAGGGTGCCCTGGGTTTCTTGGGTGTCGATGATTTTGGTGTGGGGAGCGCGACGTTCTCAATGGACGTCCTGGGGTCTCAGGGTTGGGTCTCTCGTGGAAGGTTTCTGGTGGACCCGGCTTCCACTGTACAGTCAACGCGCCTGATAAGGACGCGCGCCTTCATCCAGGGTGCCCTTGTGTCCTTGCCTCTGCGGCCCTTCCTGTGCCGATTTCACGGGTCGCCTGCCGCCCAACAAATCCCATTTTCGGCCTTCAAGGGTCTTGCGTCCTTGCCACGCGTCCTTAATACACGTTTTGACTGCACCCTAGTGCTATTCGTGATTGTCGTTTTTTTCTTGTGCAGCTTACATATTGGGGGGTAGGGTACCCTCGGGGATCGTATGGTTTGGGGTGCTCGGGCTGGCGGAGGGTCTCATGCTCCTGGAGGGTGCTCTTCTGTCCCTGGTCAGGCTGTACAGCATAAGCTTTCGGAGCTCCGTGCGGATGCCTTGGAACTGCACGGGGCCCCCCTGGAGGCGCCGCCGGCGCCGCCCCCTGGCGCGCGCTGCGCGCCAGGGGGGGGGACCAGCGCAGATCCAAGAAATCCCCGCGCAGAACTCCGCAGAACACACAACACACACAACACACACACACACACACCACACACATAAAACACACACACACACCAGCCGGCGCGGAATGTCTTGGGTCGGCGATGGACTCGCTCCCTGGCGCGCGGAGCGCCCCAGGGGCGGGGTCCGAGGCGCCGCCAGGTAGGCCCAGCGCCGATCCAGGAAATCCCCGCGCAGAACTCCGAAAGCTTTGTTTGTGCAGTTTGTTCTTCTGTCGGCGGCGAGCCCGAGGGGGAAGCGAGAAGGAGAAGGCCTTCTCAAAAGGCTCGGAGATCCCCCAGCCAACCGAGGAGCTTCCTGAGCCTTCCTCGAGGATGCGGAGAACTCCTCAGATGACGCAGTCTCCTTCTCACTTACCCCCTTTTGCTCGCCGCCGATCCCCGAGAAGACATGGGAGAGTACGGTAAGTGGGGGGGGCACGAAAATCAAGAAACGCTTATAATAGGTTGGGCATCCTGAGATTTGCGTGTACATTCAACCCGCATAGCAAGGATGGGCAGCCTTCCGACGGGTATCCTTGCATCCTTGCCCCTTCGGCCCATCCTTGGCCACCTTCGCTGGCCGCGCCCCGCTCGAATTGCTTCGAAATTGCCCTCCGAGGCCCTTGCATCCGCATCGTGCGTCCTTCTGATATGGGTCGACTATGTTTATGCGTGTGTGTATTTATTTGTGTGTCCTTGGCCCCCTGCACCTGAGGACGTGTATCTATGTGCCCCTGTATTTATGTGTGTATTTCTTTGTGTGTCCCTGGGCCCCTGCACCTGAGGACGTGTATATGTATGTCCCTGTACTTCTGTGTGTGAATATATTTACGCGTCCCTGGGCCCCTGCATCTGAGAACGTGTGTTTACGTGTCTCTGCATTTATATGTGTGTATCTATTTGTGTGTCCCTGGGCCCCTGCATCTGAGGACGTGTATGTACGTGTCCCTGTATTCCTGTGTGTGCGTGTATGTGTGTGTGTGTGTGGTGTGTGTGCTTGTGTGTGCTTGTGTGTGCTTGTGTGTGCTTGTGTGTGTGTGTGCGTGTGTGTGCGTGTGTGTGCGTGTGTGTCTGTGTGTGCGCCCCTGGGTCCCGTGAAGCTGAGGGCGTCTATTTACGTGTCCTATAGTTATGAATGTGCGTATCTGTTAATGTGTATCTGGGCCCCTGCACCTGAGGACGGGTGTTTCTGTGCCCCTGCATTTTGATGTGTGTGCATCTAGTTGTGTGTCCCTGGGCCCCTGCACCCGAGGACGTGTACTTCTGTGTCCCTGTATTTTCATTTGTGAGTATCTGGGCCCCTGCACCTGAGGACGGGTATTTCCGTGTCCCTGTAGCTTTATGTGTGTGTACCTACTTGTGTGTCCCTGGGCCCCTGCACTTGAGGACGTGTGTGTATGTGTCATTGTATTCTGTGTGGGCATCTATTTGTGCGTCCCTGGGCTCCTGCGCCTGAGGACGTGAGGGTGTGGGACGGCGCAGCGGGGCACTTCGCGGCGCTGCAGCGCTGGCGGCGCGGGCGCGACGCGGTCGCCAGGCCCTACGTGGACAAGCTCGACCTCAAGGCAGCCTGGGGGGCGGCGTGCCGGGAGCGCGACTGCGCTGAGGCGCTGCTTGCGGGCGACGACCAATGGAGAGGAAGCACGTTGCCAAAGAACTACCAGGTGTTTAAAACATGGTTTAGACACGTAAAACATGATTCAAACATGAAGACCATGTAACATCATGTGAAACACCTTTCAAACATGATTTAACCATGTTCCCTAAGAGCTACCAGATGTTTAAACATGTAAAGACACGTTTCAAACATGTCTAGAGCATGTCCAAACATTTGAAACACGTGTTCAATTCAGTGAGAGGATTGTTTGGGTGTCCATTGTCATGGCATCTACAAGGTGCTGCGGTACATCGTCCTGGGGGCCGTGTGGGCCTACCTGGGCATTCGGCGCGTGGAGGTCCGATTCGGAGGGACCGACTGCAAAAGTGCTCTGCCCCAGGATTGCCTCTTTTCTCACCGGGTCTGTGGAGAAGCAGAACGTGTAGCGCCGAAGAAGAAATCACGCCACAAGCATAAGTTGTTGGCTCTCCGCGCGGATTTCTTGGATCCGCGCTGGGTCCCCTCCCCGCGGCGCCCCCGGCGCCGGCCCTGGCGCGTTCCGTGCGCCAGGAAGGGGGGATTCAGGCCAGATCCAAGAGACCCGCGCGGAGCGCCAAGAGTTTTTGCTTATTGCGTGTGCTTTCTCTCATCTTTCAAAGAGATCAACTACAACATTGAATTCGCCCCGGACTGATCACCGACGCGTACCATGTCCGTACGTCTAGGAACATTATACGTTGTCTCCGTCGGTTCGTGTTGAATTTTCAATTTGGGGTGTTCGGCGCGTGGATGTGTTCGGCCACGCGCAGAGGGGAGGGGTGGGGAGGGGGGAGGCTTCTCAGAAGCCCCCCCCCCCCCCCCTGTCTGTAGACGTCGGGCCGGCGCGTTCCAAGAAGCAGCCTCCTTTTAAGATCGGCGGGTCAAAGATTGGGCCCTGATGAATGGGGTCCTAAGGACGAGGTGCCTCAAACAACGCAGATCCATCCTCGGATCTCTTCCCATCCTTGGGTCGCCAGCCCTCAGGACCCCCTCTGTGAACCACCGATACGAACCCTTCCCCCCTCCCCCCTACCCCCTGGTGATCGTTTTCTTATTCATTGTTTTGCCGATCGGCGCGGGCCCTCGCCCCCCCCCTTCTCCCCTCCCTCATGTAGTAGATCTTGGCTGCTTTTGGCGCTTGTTTCGAGCAGGAGGAGTCTCTCCACCACAGGACGTACTGTTGCAAGCAGTCGCGTGAAGCAGAGGTCTGGAGCCAGACCCCCTCACCCCCCCCCTTCCGCTCGGGAGTGGATAGAACCCCCACCTTGACACGTCGATTAGTGAATTGTCCTTTTTCGGTTCTCGAGAGGGCGCCGCGGCCGTCATTTTCCAGGCTTGCGCCCGCCAGGTTTGGGCCCGAGGTCGTTTTCACTGAGCCACGTTTTACTAAAGGGGGTTCTGTCCCACCCCCTCCGCCCAATGCCGAAACGCCGAGTACGAAAACGCTCACCTGGTGCGCGCCGCAAAGGTGTGCGGCGCTTCCGAGGGCGGCGGGGCCCCGCTGCTGCGCCCCGCGGCCCCATCGCGGCCCGCGGGCGACTACGACGCCTGGGGCTCGGGCGCGCAGCCCTCGGGTGCGGAGGGCGAGGTCCTCGACCCCTTCGGGTGCTCCGTGGGGCCTCCCAGCTGGGGCCCTATAGCAGATGGGGCCGGTGGGTCGCGCCGCGTCGCCGATGCATCGCCGATGCGGCTCGATGTGGAGCCCGTGTCCTCCCACGCCGATGCGTCGCGGTTGAATCGCCGATGCATCGCCGATGCATCGGCGATGCGGCGCCATCCTCCGACCCCATCTGCTCGGACCCCACCCAGGAGGCCTCGAGGTGCGGGCCACGCGGGGGCACCGTGGTGAGGCTGCGCTTGCCCCCGGAGCGCAGAGGAGGAAAAAGGGCACACCGCTGCCATTCTGCCCCGCTTGTGTCGCCGCGCTGGGGCTCCGGGGTGGCCCTCGTCGCCACGGCTGGATCCGCCTCGACGTGCTGGCCCGAGCGCACCCAGGGAGAGGTCTGGCGAGGAGCGGTATCGGTGCCTGCTGGTCTCCCCAGGAGCTGGCCCGGGGGCTGCGCGGCGGCGGCGGCGTGGCACGGCGGCCGGCTGCCGGGCATGGCGTGCTTGCAGAGCTGAGGGCCTGCATAGGTGAAGATGCGGCTCCGGCGCAGAAAGCATGTCCTCCTGCTCCTCCACCTTCTCCGCCGCCGCCTTCTCTCGGGAAGCAAGCGATGGCATAAACATGCAATTACGTAGGTCCGTGCGGATCTCTTGGATCGGTGCTGACCTCCGTGGAGGGGCCTCCGGCGCCGCCGCTGGCGCGCTCCGCGCGCCAAGGAGGGGGGTCCAGCGCCAACCCAAGAAATCCGAGCGGACCTCCCAAAGTTGTATGAGAATGTCTTAGTGTCGTCTCCGATTGCATTCCCCTTCCTCGTGCCTTTTGGCCAACGGAAATGTCCACGCGGTGTCTCCAACACGGTGCTTCATCGCAGGGGATCGCATTCCGTGGGTCTTTTATGATGTTGCTCCGAGGTGTCTGGACGATTGGGCTCTGCTGGCGTTCGCATGTGCATCCCCCTTCTCGTCCCCTCTGTATCTGTCTTGGCCCACGTGGAACACGTGCAGACCAGCTGGACACGAGCAGTGGGCGCAGCTGGCACGCAGCGGTGCGTCTGCTCTGCTGCGCACCGTGGCCCAGTGCGTGCACTGACGCGCTCAGACGACGACGAAGAGGAGCGGCACGCTGGGCTGAGCAGAGCCGATGGTCGGCCTTCACCCCGCGTAGCGCCTACGTCCGGCATCGGCGAAGCCGTCATCTTAGTCGGCGGATAGACGCACACAGGCGTGGAAGCCGAAATAGTATTCTGGAAGTCGATTAGTGGAGAGGAAGCATGCTGCCAAATAGTTTCCAGATGTCCAACAGATGTTTCCAATTTGTTTTAAATAAGTTCAAACATGTTTGAACATGTTTAGAACATGTTTTCACGCATTTTAAACACATATCTAATTCAATAGTAGGATTGTTAGAGTGTCCAGTGTCATGGCATCCACAAAAATAGCAGCAGACGTTCAATTCGTGCATGTGCACAAGGGCAAGGGCAGTGACTGGCAGCTAGGGGGCACGGTCCAGGGCGAGGGCAATGGCCAGCGCCAGAGGCCGCGACCAGGACGGCCTCAGACCTTCTAGCGACTGTCTGGCGGCTCCTGGGTACGAGGTCGAGGGCGTAGACGAGCAGGAGAACATTCTCCAGAATAGGTTTGAGAGCGCGGATGCCAGCACCATGCAGCAAGCGAACACACGACGTGCCCGAAGGGCGGGACGAGCTCGTGTGTACGTCCTTGGGCGAGCACGACGGCGAGGGCTTTCATTCTAGAGGCGTGCGCCATTCCGCCCACCTCAGGAAGAGATACGCGGCTCCCACACTGCTTGCTGCTGTTGCACTGCTTGCTTGCTGCTACTGCTGCTGCTGCTTCTTTTCTTGCTCCTCCTGTACCTGCTGCTTCCTTATGCTTCCTGAGCCACCGGGCGACCTTTTCGATCCCGATCTCGTGCAGTTCGTGTGCAGATTCCCGTCGTGTTCCTTCCGTGTCCAGTGGAGACCCATGCCAGGAAACACCCTGCTTTCCTCCAGGATGCCTTGGGGTTCTTGGGTTTCGGTGATCCTGCTGTGGAAGGCGTGACGCTCCCACGCCACGCATCAATGTACGTCCTGGGGCCTCAGGCTTGGGCCTCTTGTGCCAGGCGTCTTGTGGTCGAGCTCCTCCTGCAGGCGTTGCTCCTCCGTCCTCCTCCGCTGCGCCTGTCGCTGGGGCGGTTCGGGGGCCTCCTCTTTGAAGCCTCGGGGCCGGCCTCTCGGGAGCCCGTCCAGGGCTCCTGGGGACTGTTCGGGGGGCTTGAGGAGGAGGAGGAAGAAGAAGGAGGAGGAAAAGGAGGAGGAGGAAAAGGAGGAGGAGGAGGAGGAGGAGGAGGAGGAGAAAGAGGAGGAGGAGGAGGAGGAGGAGGAGGAAATTAGGAGGAGGAGGAAGAAGAAGGAGGAGGGAATTAGGAGGTGGAGGAAGAGGAGGAGGAGGAAATTAGGAGGAGGAGGAGGAAATTAGGAGGAGGAGGAGGAAATTAGGAGGAGGAGGAGGAGGAGGAGGAGGAGGAGGAGGAGGAGGAGGAGGAGTTTGGGGGCCTGTGACACCCCCTCGAGGGCGCGTCGGGGGTCTTGGGGGACATCGCGTGGAGGAGGGTTCCTGGGCCCCCTGCGAGTTCCCCCTCTCGGGCCGTCTTTGGGCCCGCCTTGGGGTCCGTCGCCTTCTTGGGGCCCTCTGCGGCCGTCTTCGGGCCAGCTTGGCGGGTCTTCGTCTCCCAGAAACGAAATGCGAGAATGCGAAACTCATTCAAACATGTTTAATACATTGGTGTTGTTTACCTCCTCTGCCATCTTTAGGTCCCCTTTGGGGGGTCTCAGAGGCCGCTTGGGCCGTCTTGAGGTTTTGCTCCTCTCGCTGCGCCTCGCAATCTCGGCGGACCGTGGCACTTGGCCCTCGTGGGCCATGCCGCCCGGGCCGCCTCTCTCCTCGCCTCCTCATCCTCTGATGCATGAGAAGCATCATGTTATCTCGCGCGGACCACGGCGCCTCGTCTGAGGCGCGAGCTCGCGGCCCGGCAGCCTGTCTGCCTGGGCCGCCTGCCCCCCACGTGCTCTGGCGCTCCCCGCCCCCCCCCCCCGCGCGTCGCTAGCCACGGGCCCACCCCGAGGGTCCTGCCCGCACTGGAGGGGGGACCTGGCCTTGCCACTGCCCAGCAATCGTGCGCCAGAAGCGCCACGTCTCCGCCTCGGCGGACGGCCGCTCCTCAGCCTCGCGGGGCTCCCCCTGCGTGTTGGCCGTCGGCCTGCACGGCCAGGTCGGCGGCCCTGCGCCTCGAGCCGCAAAGGCCCCTCACGGCTGCCACGCCCTTCCTCCCCAGACCATGGTCGGGTCCGCGTCTGCCATGCTGCTGGCCACGCCCTGCGCCATGTCCCTCGCCTCCCACAGGTAGCCCAGGAACGCATCGCTGTTCCAGCGCCCCCAGCACCGCACCAGCGCCGTGTCTTTGAACGCCGCGCACAGCGCGGATGCTCCGCCGATCCGCAGGCTGTGGGAGCCGACTGCATCACCACGCGCTGGACATCTGCTCGCGTCACGAGCCTGACGTCATCATAGGCGAAGAGCTGGTCGTACATCCTCGTCCCTGAGAACCTCTCGCGCGCCCAGCCTCGTAGATCGTCAGCGCTTCCACGACGCATATGTGCCCCTTCTCCACTGACCCCGCCGTCACCTCCACCCTGAAGCGGTTGCGCCATTCACTGAGATTGTATTGGTCGGTCGTACTGGCCCTGATCTTGATAACGACCTCGTTGACCTCGGGCCAGTTCCTGCACGGCTCTTGCCTTCGGTGTGACGTCAACCCCTCGCAGTCCCTTCCTGCTCGTGTAGCCGTTCTGGTCCCCGGACACGTACTCGCTAGCCTTCAGTAGGAAGAAGTAGCCCGTTGCCACCGCCGCCCAAAGAGCCGTGCCCTCGCGAGACCTCTCCGGCTGCAGTTTCTTCCGAATCCACCGCATCATCCTGGGGGTGACCGTCCTCTTCCGCTTGGCGTCCCCATCTCGCCTCCTGAGGCCATCGATCGCCATCCAGAGCCTTCCTGCCCCCGCCGTGAGGTCGCCAATGCCGAGGGCCAGGTGCTGGGCGCGGACCGCACTCAGGTACTGCTTCATGGTGCCCGTTTTCTTGCACCCGCGCCTGGACAGGTGAGCGACAAACTCCAGCAGCAGTTCTTCCTCCTGCTCCTCCTCCTCCCTTCTCCTCCCCCCCTCCTCCTCCTCCTCCTCCTCCTCCTCCTCCTCCTCCTCCTCCTCCTCCTCCGATTCGTGAGCGTGACCTCCCGTAGTGGGCTGCTGCCACCCCCGCGGCGGCAGACACACCGCCGCCTCCAGCCCAGGCTGTGCGACTTGCTGGTGGAGCTCGCCCGCCTGTCCAGAATGGGATCCAGCTTGGCCTTCTCTCAGTCCTCGCGTGTCTCGAGGTCCGCTGTACTCTGCACCCTCCGGCCGCCTGAAGCCCCGCCCGCCCGCGCCCTGTCTCCCCAATTAGGGCTTCGCTCGCCCCGCCTAGCTCTTAACCGGAGGGGGCCCGCTCCCGACCCGCCGACCCCCCCCCAAAAAAACAGTCTTGAGGTCCGCGAGGATCAGGTCGCGAGGCGTGGCCTCGTCCTGGACAGCTTCTGGCCCGAGCAGGTTCGGCGGCTGGTGCTGCGCCAGGTCCACGCTCTTGCCCCTGCGCTTCGTCTTTGTTTCTTTTTCTTAGTGTTATTATCATCATCATTATTATTATTATCATTATTATTATTATTAATAATATTATTATTGTTATTATTATTATTATGATTATTTGTAGTCGTAGTAGTAGTAGTAGTAGTAGTAGTAGTAGTAGTACTACTACTACGACTACTACTACTACTACTACTACTACTACGACTACTACTACTACTACTACTACTACTACTACTACTACTACTACTACTACTACTACTACTACTACTACTACTACTACTACTACTACTACTACTACTACTACTACTACTACTACTACTACTACTACTACTACTACTACTACTACTACTACTACTACTACTACTAACTACTACTACTACTACTACTACTACTACTACTACTACTACTACTACTACTACTACTACTACTACTACTACTACTACTACTACTACTACTACTACTACTACTACTACTACTACTACTACTACTACTACTACTACTACTACTACTACTACTACTACTACTACTACTACTACTACTACTACTACTACTACTACTACTACTACTACTACTACTACTACTACTACTACTACTACTACTACTATTATTTTCAGTATGATTAGTATTCGTGGTATTAGTATCATTATTATTATGTGTACATATTATTAGTTTTGTTATTCCTAGTCTTAGTGATACTATCATTATTAGTATTGGTATTCTTGTTATTCGTACTATTAGATTTCGGATGTTCATTCTTAGTGTTATTAGTATTGTTTTATATATTAGTATCCGTATTAGTAGTATTATCATTGCTAGTTTTTGATTTTCATTGTTATCCTTAGTCTTATGACGATTCGCATTATTTGTATTACTACTCTTATCCTTATCAGTAATACTAGTATAATCATTTTGTATGTTTAATCACAGCATTGTTCAATTTA